TAATTTATCTGTGGACAACCTCAGCTTATTTTCAGTCAATTCACAAATGGAAAAATAGATGGAGTTTATTTAAAAGGCTGTTCACTGTTAGACCTAGAGAATATCAATGACCCTATACAATAAAACCATACCAGCTTTTGTCTCTCTCTAAAGCAAGAAAAACTGGAGACTTGCCATTGGTATATAGAGCATTAAGAATTAGGGCTATTTCCAACTGAGACACCAGGGGCCAGAATCAGTGTTGAAGTAATTTGGCATGATTTCATTAAATAAAAGTGGAGTTGTGCCCACTTACATCAGCAGCAGATTTGAGAACATGTCCATATGGCTCCTATATTTATAGTGGAGGGCCTCCAAAGCCAGTAGACCAGAGATGGCAATGTTTAATTCAAGTACATAATTTTTATTTCACTAATCTGAATAAAGTACACAAATGTGAGGGAAAAATATTCATACATCAAGTGTTCTCCAAATTAATTGTTGAGCTATTAGATGGATGAATTCTCTCCGCATTTTGGGGGGGGGAAGAGCTTTTTCTCTTAACTCATTGAAACTGGAGTGAATAGGATGTGTAGAAACTTTAATGGAGAAGATTCTATAATTCTCTGGTAACTTATAATTGTTTTTATTTTTTGTCTGGAAACATGGCTTGTTTTTTTCACCAATCTACATGATTTTCTCCAAAAACTATTCATACTTTTTCTCAAATCTTTTTTCTTATTCAGTCAAGTTTTAAATTATCTAAAAATAATCACTACTTATTAATTACTTGCAAGTCTGTTGGTTCTAAAACTATGTATAACTACTTAGAAAATTAACTGCATATGGACTCAGGTAAAAGCTATCTCTTTCCACTACACACTTTGCCTCTGTACCTGTGTCATGTATTATATTTGAAGACAAGTATTACAATTCATTCTTCACTCATCATCAAGTTGCAGTGCACATCTTCTGGTGTGTTTGTGGTGTGTAAGATAAAATAAAAATCACTTAATTTCTTTTTGTTGGTTCTTGAACAAATTGGAGTATACAGTGGTGGCTCTCAATTATCCAAATTTCATTTAATTTATAAGGTGATACTGCTTCCTAATTGTTTTATGCTTCCTAAGTGTTATAGACTTACTTGAATATATCATTCTTTGCTGTGGAAAATGAGCAAAAATAGGACCTTGCTCACAAAACTATGAACACTAAAGGACTTCTGGATTCTTTCTAAAAGGTTAATGGTCCCAGTCCTGTTACTAAAGGATTAGAATCTGGATTGCAAGGACTAGCATTACAGTTGGCACAGGTTGACATTTACTTGTTTTCTCAAGAAAAAGAGCAACTTGCAAGGTGTGTGGAGACTGAATTATCTACCTCCCCTCCAGAGTTTAACTGACAGGTAAAGATGAAACATGGAGAAATGTCAGGAAGATGCTGATGGCCACAGGATCCATTTCCAATGGTTAAACAGGCACCTGTGTGTCATCTTTCTCACAGATAAAACATTATTTTCAATACTTTTAATGTTGGTTTTTTTTTTTTTTGTGTTGTTAGTTTTGATTTGTTTTTCTTGTTCTAGTAAGGGTAAGAAATATCAGTGGAGAGGTCATAAATAAATATGGGTAGCTTCTGTGAACTTCCTTTGGAGTAAAATATTACTTGTTAATCTGTGCACATCTGTATCTCAGAAGCCGACTTTTGTTTCAGTTTGTCTCAACCAGAATGCCAAGTTATCATATTGCTATTGACCAAGCCAACAATGATGCTATTAGTTGAATATTAGGGTTTAATTTATGCAATTTCATTTTTCCATACTGAATAATTTTCATTAATTATTTTTCAGTCTGTTTATTTTTTCTTTTTGTTTTTGCCTTTTCTTACTAATGTGATGTATAAAGTTTTGCTTCAAATTTCTTTCTGAAAAGTCCACAAGAAGTAACACTCAACTCACTTTCCTGATATTCTGTAGAGAAGCTGCTATGAAAATAACCGTGCCTAAAAGCTTCTTGCAAATAACCAAGTATAATAGGAATAAAAAATGCCATGTGATATTTTTCTGGACATATCTTTATGATTGAAAAGGAAAGAAAAATTGCTTCTTTCTTCATTTTGCCCAGTGAACAACTCCAAATCTAAGTGATTTTGTATACTAACCTCTATTAAATTCTGTTTGGTCCACTGGGGCTAGTTGGTTTGGGTTCCTTTTGGACTTATGTTTACATACTTTCTCATAAGCCACAATAGCAAAACAGTAACTATGAGTTTAATAATATCCTGCTTAATAGTATTTTCTATTTGTGTGAGACTCATCATGGTGTATCTTTGAGCTCATAGGGGTTTAGTAAAGGAAGTTTGTGTAAATGTAGCTTCTCCTTACTTTAAACAATGGAATGCTTAAACATGGTATTGTTATTGACTTCGTTTTATATAGCAACAGGGTCTTTTCTCATAAAAAGGAAATAAAATAACCAGTTTCCCCCGGGGAACGAGAAAAAGGAGAAAAAATAAAAAATAAAAAAAATAAAAAGGAAAAAGAAAAGGGGAAAAAAAATTAAAAAGGAAAAAGCAAAGGGAAAAAAAATAAAAAAGGAAGCATTTTGAATGAATCAGAAGACAAGGGAAAGAGGCATAAAAATATAAGGACTGTACTTGGTAGAGCCTGCTGTCAGACACATCTTCTCACAGACACTGAAACTGTATACATTGTTCAAGGACTTTCACAGATGCTCCCAGCTAGAGACTGAAATCTTGAAAAGAGAACATTGCCAAGATAGAAAAAAGTCTTTATGGTTCTTGTCTCCTTGGAAATATTTGGGCTCTGGTGATTTTTAAATTATTTACTAGTTCCAAAACCAGAGCTTAGGGGGAGAGAGAGTTTCAAATCTTCTTTCTGTTTCATTGGAGGACAAATTGGAATCAAGACCTTTACCCTTCCATAATACTGCCTTGTTTTAGTATGCAAAGTATTAGTGTGCTTCTTTGTCTCTCCTGCAGAAACTGCTTTACTTAAATATTCATTCAGCCAGTGAAAATTGCTTTGCCTATTTTTTAGGGCACTTATGTGAGAGGTGAAACCCTGGACTCTTTTTTATACTCACTTAGTAAAATACTTTATGCAATACAGAGCTCACATGGAATACCTCATAACCCATTAGCACTCAGCAGTAAACTGGCAGACCTTGATTTCCATTGTGAACCAAGTAAGAAGATAAACATGAACTTAGGTCTCCTTTTTGTAAGTTAACTGTCCTGTCTTCTGTGGAAGTGTGTTGATTCACAATTCCCTCTCCTGCCCTGCAGAGATTTTTAAAGCCTGCTGCTTATTCCCAATTAAAATTCTGCGATACAAGTGTTTAACTCATATTTGTTTTAAATGATAAATTTGGAAAGATGTCACTTACATGCTAAGACAAAATTAATTATAAATTTTATTTTACTATTAGTCAAGGACCAAATGGGGAAAAATCAAGCTATTCTATTTCTCCAATCAGACAAAGAAGAGTCATCTTGCAAAACAGAGAAATTTTTGCATAAGGAGACTAAGTGGGCCATATGGAATCCAGCAGTATCACAATATAGTGCTCAACTGCTATTTCAGCTGGATTTATAAGCTGTCCTACATCTTGATGTTAAGGATCAGAATTTGATTCATTATGTCATTAAGTAATATACAAATATTTTAGGTAATTTGTGGCAGGGCAAGTGTATGTGATTATAAGTCCAAAAGATGTTACAAAAAATATTCTTGGCAAAACATGCAAATGTAAATTAATTTAAATCTTATATAGAAAGTCTGAAAACAATATTATATTCCACAAAAAATGTTGTTTATTCCTGTAGTGTTACAGTTAGTATACAATATTTAATTAATGTTTAAAAAGTTTTAATTATTTAGATAAATATTGTAGTGCTTTTTAGCTAAGAGAGAGATTAAACATATATTTTTTTTCCTAAGCAGAAGCCCACAAAGAAAATCCTCTAAAACTAAAAGTAACTCTTTTTGAAGTAATAAAACATTCTCACTGAAAAGTTTATTTATTGAAAGTAACATTAAAATCTGTCAGTTTTACAAAATATGTTTTTTTGTCAGGATAAAATCATCACACGTGTCCAGTTCAGTTTTAATGCTAGTTCAGAGTAATTATATGTTTATTTCCCTTTTTCTCATATCAAACTCATTTGTTAACATTTTACAATTAAGTGGAGCCCTACTATATTCTGAATTGAAGTCTGCCCAGCCTGCTTGAACACCTGAGCCATCTGAGAAATTAGTTTAAGCTGGGATGCTGAACAGTCTTTCTCAGCAATGTGGCAGCAGGGCTGCTCCATGCAGGGAGGGAGGCAGAAGCAAGGTGGACTGTGTCTATGAGTTCGTGCTTCACTGCTGGTTCAATCAGAGCTCTGAGGTACCACCTATTCATCCTCAGTTGTTGCCTGTAGGGCAAGCACCTGAAATTCCTTTCTTCCTATACTCCATATAGAGTTTAAACTGTTTTACGTGTTTTCTCAAAACAGAAAAAGGGAATCTTGATGGGGAAAAAAAAAAAAAAAGTGTAAGGAAAAATGAATAAGAAATATAAATGAATTATGTAAAAACCTCTTTGAGGCAAAGGAGGCCACAGCGGAACAGAGAAGCCACAGAGCATGAAGGTAGGCAGAGATGTTCTTAATATGATAGTAGAGAGGACTGTGATTACATACGGTCCCTATGAGGTTATATGAGGGGTGACATGAGGATGACATAGCATATCTTGCATGGGAAGAGTGAAGTCTGAGTGGGACAAAATCAAAAAGGAGCAGTAGCTGCAGTGCTCATTTTGTCAGTAGAGTAATATTGGGAATTATGTTTACTGAGAGAAGGAAAGATGGCATACTGAAATTCATTGTCTGAAAGACTTCAAGTGTAGGGCCTAAGGTCAATCTGTTGTTTCTACCCTCCTCTCAGTGTATCCAGCACAGGTGCTTTGAGTTCCCAGGGCCAGTTTGACAGGAAAACTAGCAGGCCAGGCAGCTAATTTAAGTAGATCTTTGAATGCTTTTGTGGAAGGTGAATCAGTGAGAAAGATGGTACTTATGTTTGTTTGGTTTAAAATAAATTGCTGGTAATAGCAAAGGAGTTCTAAGTTACAGAAAAAAAGTACCATAAGGTGGGTCTGAGAAATCAGTAGAATTACTGACGATACTAAAGAATAGGTTGGATCATAAAGAATAAACATTTTGGAAAAAAAAATACTGGGGTGTTAATAAAACATTTAAAAAGCTAGGATGAAAGAGAAAAAAACTCTTTATCGGTGTAAGTGGAGGGAGTGTTTTTTTTTTGTTTTTTTTTTTTTTCCTGTTATTTTACTTTTCAACTTCTATGTATCTGTGTGTGTGTGTATCTACATATTTGTGTCTTTCTAGTTTATAAGCATATTATGAGACAGAACTTGTGTGTCAATCTGCTTCCTTTCATACTAATATTTTGAGGTGTATGTATCTAAAATGTCACAAGTATGTGGCCATGCAATTGTTCCCTAATATTAATGGCAAAGAACAGAAGTGTTTATAGCTTTGAATGTGTTTTGTGGATAGATTAATGGTTCCAAATAACTTGGAGTTCTGCAGGAATAATGGGTACTTCTATAGCTTTACAGGGTGGTTATTTTTTTAAATATTATTATATATATATTTTTCTCTTTCAGGCTCTCCTAGGCCTCTTGAAAGGTGAAGCTTTAGCTAAGGTAGAGTTTAGAAGTTTAGCTAAAGTAGTGTTTAGAAAATAAAGAGAAAGGCAGCAAACAGAACTTTACAGAAAATTTCTTTCCTTTAGGAAAGAGCCGATGCACAACTCTTCCTTACACTCATCTTTTATGATGGGTGCTTGCTAACAGGGTCTTTATTCCTGGGAGGTCTAATTGGAAAATGGAACTATGTTGTCTTTTGGTTGTGTATACACATGTACGAGAAGAATTTTTGGATAAATAAATGCTTCTTTGAATCACTGCAGATGAATGAGGTATGCAGATACACATTTGGGATCTGCAAAAATTTGAGAGTTGGAATTGAAGCATTAGGAACTTAAGAAGCGATACATACGAGTGTAGAATAGTCAAAATAGTTCTCTTGCAATGTCTTGGTAATATAGATTTTTCTGAGCTAATAATAATACAGCTTAACAACGCAGTAATACATAAATATACTAAACAGTATAAATGGAGGAAAATTATTTCTCTATTCCTACACTTACTAGAATTGGAATGCTATGTTTGTGGTTTTTGTTTTTTTTTTTCTGTTTTGTTTTTGTTACTTGCTTTCTTAAATAAAATTGCCTGTTCTGCTTAAATTGAAGGTTTTGGAGACTTATTGTGCTGGGGACCACCACCAAAGGAGACAGGAAATCTATAGAATCACTTAGAGGATTAGTTCTGCTTTGCTTCCATAAGGAATTAGACTTTTGACCTTGGCTGAATTTGGTAGCATTTGATATATCTTTAAGACATTTGTATAAAATTTTGTATAATTTCCTTTAATCCAACATATAACATTAATATTGTTCACATCTTTCATCTTTGCAGTGTGTTACTGGACTTATGATGAAATTTCAAGTAAAGGATAGGAATACCATACTTCTTGCAGTACTGCCTGGATTCAAGGTAAGTCTGTTTCTGTCCTTGCTTGGAAGGGCATCATTGGCTGTATCTAATGAACTGTAAACTACATTTTCATATTACTGACTTAAACAGAGAAAGAAAAGCTTAAGCCTGGCCTTTGAATGATGAACGCAAAGCTTGCTTAGATTGATGTAATAACTGTAACACTCAATTTTTTGTGGTGCAGAGTGAGTGTCTGTGGAAAGATGAATGTTTTAAATTGTCTGAAAGAGGAGTATGTTTAGAATCAAACAAGTGAATTAATGACATATTGACTCTGTGATTTTTTTTCCACTTTTTAATATGTACAGACTTACTAACTTTCAGTATTCAACTCAAAGTTAAAATTGTGATATTATTTACAGCTGGAGGGATGTCAATATTCCCCAAGGAATTCTGAAAGTATGCTTTGCACTGTGTTGATGACACTTAACATGGATTTAAAAGAAATATATTCTGTCTAATCTCCTCAGGAGGGTCTACATATCTTTCTCCTATCTCGAGTAAGACTTTTTGCATGTTGGTCTGATTAAAATAGGAAGATTAATTAAGGTAAAGTAATGACTTTCAAAGCTATTTCAATTAAACAAAGATCACAACTTATTTCTAATACTTTGATTGTCATTGGTTATCAATTTTTTTTTTTTTATGACAATCAAATGTTAGTAGCAATCTTCCCTTGACGCTGAAGATGGTGTATAAAATCCCTCGAGTATTTAAAGCTAGAGAGCGCTCCCAGCACATAGTGGTGCCATGGAAACCAATATTTACTCTGCTACAGAGAGAGTAACCTGACATCTGGATTTGTCAGTATCTTCTCATTTTACATAAGGAACCATGCACTCATCATAGCATAACACTACGGTAAAAAAAAAAGGGGGGGGAGGAATTTTACATCATTAAATAGAAACAGTGAAGAGCTGTTGCTAAATTTGCATGTACATGATATTTAGTAGTACAGTATTTAGTACAGTTGTACTAGTGTTATTGCTAGAAGAATCCTTATAGTCACTATCTGAAGAGTGTGTGCTTCTTCAGAGATCGACAATTGAATCCTCTTCTGTGTTTCTATCTTCTAAAAATGCTATGGAACTGTCTCTAGTTCTTGGTGAGATGACTGGGAGAGGTTGTGGTTTCACGACCATGCACACGCATGAGGAGAGATATGCTAACACGTTAAGACTGCTTTGTTTGGATGGTTGACCTTTATAACCAATTACCGTTCTGAGTAATGTTCTGTTCTATGAATATGGGAAGCACAGCTAAAGATGAGGCTTAAGTAGTTGTAATTTCATGGAGGAAAGAAGAACTTAAGTCCATCCTTTGGGAGAGCCTTCATATGGATTATTGTTTTTGTTGGGTTTTGAATATGGCTGTAGCTGGTGTAAATAGTACTCAGAAAAGGCATAGGTACACTTCAAATACTTAAAAGAACAGGAATAAAATTTTCTTTTGCATTGCATGTGATTATAGCAAAACTCAAATTTTTGGGCCTCTTCTTTCATTAAGTTAGGAAAGTTACTCTGACAGAACAGGTCAAATACCTATTTTTACATTGCTGCCTAGCTTATTGTAGATTTGCCACAATAAATTGGGCGTGCAGGTGGTAATAAATATTAAAAAATAGCTGTAGCTACATTAATTTTTTAGTCAGAACATAAGAAAACTACAACTCTTTTATATTTGTATGTTTCTTTTTCATTAATAATGTGTATCTGATTAGTTTAAGACAGTGACTGAAGGACAGAATAGGTCAACGGTTGATGATACTTATTTATTTGATAATAGAGAAATATGATCTACTTGAACGAATATCCAAACAATTTGGCATAATACAAAAGATAAGGTAGTTAATTGTTCTTCGTATGTCTATTGTAGGTTCAGACAATGAAGACAGATTGTAGGCTGAATGGCTCTTAGCTCCAGGTGCAGGTTAGGTAAAATGAGAAGTCGTGTGTGTGGTTAGGTTTTTGTTGCTTTACTTTTTTATTTTATTTTATTTTTTTTTAGATGTGCATTACATGCATTAAATAGTATTACATGGAGAAAGGCTTAAAACCTTACTTTAAACGCTGATGTCTTCAATATGGAATATTCTAGCAATTAGACCACTTCTTATCAGATTAAGGAGCAACACCCTGGTAGCTGCTTTCTTATAGTTAGTGATGTCCTAGCTCTTCTTATTTAAAACTTAAGGTAACAAAAATGCAATTTGGAATTAAAGACATAGTGACATTGACCAGTACCATAAAGCATAGTCTCTCATTTGTCTGCATGTATAAGGAAAAAGTTCTGGCATGAACACTGAATTTTAATGTTTTCTAAAGCTTTAAGCAAGGTAGATTCACTTTGTCTAATAATGCAACAACAAATGTTGTAAATTACAAAATATCTACTGAATTCATCTTGTGAGGTTATGATTTATGTGGAGGGCCTTCTGAAATCAGACACTAAATCAATGAGTTTCACTCAAATGATGGTCTTTTTTGTTAAAATACTTATGGCAGGTTTCTCAGATGATTGACATTTCAGAGATTCGTGGCTTTGGGTGTTAGAAGAACTTCAGGCATGAAATGAAATTTCATTTCTTGATTTTTGTTGTTGCTCTTTTTGAAATAAGTGCATGTTTTTAAATTTCAGAGCTTTCATGTTTCTGAAGTCTGTGTATGATATGGAAAAAAATCGAATCTGTAATCAAATCTTTTTACACTATTAGCAGTGTAAAAATTAAGTGGCTTGATTTCGATGTACATAAAATATCTACAGGTTTACTGTAGATCCATGTTCCATGTATCCATGTTCAAAATTGACTAAAGATAAGTAGTGGCTTTTTTTTTTTTTTTTTTTTTTTTTTTTTAATTGGCATAATAGGAAAGTAGGGATGCAATAGCAATGTTCCTGTGGGTCATCACTCTCACAGTGCATGTCTTTATCAAAGTTTCCTGTATTTAAAAGAGAATGAAAAAAGGGAAGGGAAGTGGCAGGAACTGCTAGATAAATCATGACACCTCAAGTTTAAGATAGTCAGACTGAATTGCTTCTTTTATTTTAGCAGTTCAAAAATTCTTTAAAACAGACCCTAGCTTTCTCTAAAACAATTCTTCACAACTAAAAAGATAATTATAAATCTTCTGTAAATGTCCTCCCAGCTTTGATAATTTTAAGCTTCTCAGCAAGAATTTGAATATATTACCTAAATGACAATAAGAGTTGCAATAAATTAAAATTATATTTGCTGTCTGACTTCATGATATTAGAGGTAAAAGATAAGTAGCATGGAACTTCATACAGATGCATCAGTTTGAACATCCATGAGCTTTCTTTCAGTTTCTTATGCATTGTATGAAGTGCAGCAGCTTTCAAGTACTCTGTTCCTTGAACTCATTAACTCCTCCATCTGATTAATTACATATTTATCAAAATGACTACCCACCTGCTGTCTTTTGACATTGCTAAACGCATAGGTAGAGTTGTCTTTTTTAATATCTTTCTGTAAATCCTCTGAAACATACGGAGGAAAAAAAAAATCGCAAGATCTTAAATTTAGTGAGTCAATGACAGCTGTTCTTGCTAAAATAGTCTTTTTGCAGCTCCCATGTGTGCAGTCTGGGATTAGGTGCAGGTCTCAAGGCTTCAGGGTTATTGAGATAGAGCTCTAAGGAATAGAGGGCATAACAAAGCAAGTGTCAGGAAGACAGCTCAACAAAATGGTTAATGAAAACCTTTTTCACAGAAGGCTAACAAGAGAAACACCTTGAATGTGATAGCACTAAGCAAAATGCCTTGGTGTAAAGTCTGTTGGCTTTGTTTTCCTCAGTCTGCTCAGTCACAAACTACACCATTTTCCAGAAGTGTGTTTGATTGTAGGGATTCACCTGCTGTGCAGCCCTCACTGATAGGTTCTTGCCTTGCAAATGAATGGAAGAACTGATTTCAATGTTTCCTATAAAACATATGATACTATGCCATGCCAAGTCACCATTTTTTCTGGAAGTATTTTGTGTTAGAGAGGTATTTTTTGAGTAAATTAGATATATGTGAATTTCTCAGTGGTGTAACAAGCCATCTGTTCTGAGAAACAGAAAGAGAAAACAGCAAATATTTTCATGTGAGGATATGTTAGCTATTTTCTGTGTTTCTTGGTCTGTCTCTAGACTGACTTGCTCATGTTGAATATAGAGGTTTTGCCCAAAATCAGGTCGAAAGTGCAAATTTGGTCAATGAGTTCCCAGCAATACACATCATTGCTTTTAGGAGAACAGCATAAAATCATTGTTTCCAAGCATCAGCATGAATTTGTCCTTTACCTGTTTTGTCTACCAATCTATTTTTTTGTCCCCAAGTTATACTTCACTAGCTTTCAGGGGAGAGGGGGGAGGGCAGTTCAAGTTTGTGTGCGAGTGACATTAATGCAGATCACTCACATGTATTTAGGACTGGGAATGCTTGTGCCCTAATTTGATTTGAGAACACTTGAGAAACATTTTGAAGCTTATCTGACCATTTGCAATAAACTGCATTGTGTGAATTTCTAAGCAGTGGTCATTCTTGTTTTTAATACTGAAAAATTTAAATAATATTATCATTGAATGAGAATATATTACAAAATCATGGACACTTCAAATGTGGCTGAATCTGGTGCATGAATTGTTTGCTAAGCTTCAATCACCATTTCATTTCTCTTTGACCCTTATTAATTCTTAATATCAGCATTTTTCCTAGGATACTGGTTTTGCCTTTAGAATAAATCAGGGAAAGTTCTCAATCAAGACAAAAGGAAGGTATCTGTGGCTACAAAGGTTTCTTGGCATGTTCCCCATGTAATTAGAACTGTTACTATCTTTCTTTTTAATGACATAACTCTGTGGCAACCATTTAACTCAATTGATTAGTTGTTGGCCAAAGGGAATAACATTCTGGCCAACAAAGCTTTTTCTATATGTGCTGCCTATGTGAGTGTGTGCTTATAGATGCCTTTTTGCTGGTTTTTGATGAACAAAGGG